GCCACCTTAGGTGTACGTGGCTGGCGCCTTAGCCGGTTGAGCTATAGGCACCGAGCCATGTCATTTTCTTAGTTACTGAGTTAAGACATTCATACTCTGCTCTTAGAAAGATTCACTTGTACCCTTGTAAGATAAACCCTTAATTCTGGTAACATCCTGGATGCCACTTTTTAGCACATCGCCTCAGGTAACCAGAAAGAAGTGGACAGACTCCTGAGCCAAGAAGAGCATGACAAAGACACTGTCCAGAAGATGTGTCACCCTCTGTGCTTTTGCGATGACTGTGAGAAGCTCATCTCTGGGTGAGGGGTGCTCTTGGGGGCTTCGCGTGCAAGGAAACAGGGGACAAAGCCTGGTGGAACCTCCCCCGTATTTGCCGTGGGATTGTGGAGAGGGATCAGCCTCACTGCACCTCAGTTGCCTCCAGGCTCATCTTCCTCTTTTGAGAATCAGGGGGAATGGAGGTTGTGGGGGGTGGAGGGACACTGGGGTAGGCTGGTCCACTGACTGGCCTGCTCCAGTCTCAGAAAGTAGGTTTTCAGGTGGGAGGAATGTCAGTTTTTCCCAGTAACATTTTTGGTTTTCTGTGAACCTTATCCAGTTGTTCTGTTGGGTATTGAAGCCTGAAGGGTTGGTGGAGGAGGGACCCTGGGGGGAGACGCCCCCTCAGGCTGCAGGAGGGGAAGGTCCCTGGGACAGTGCTGGCCGTGCCATCCCCATGGTGTATTTTTCTGTCCCTTCTGTTTTAGGAGGCTGAATGATCCCTCAGTTGTCACTCCGTTCTCCAGAGATGACAGAGGCCATACACCTCTCCACGTGGCTGCTCTCTGTGGTACGGGGCTCCAGCTGGTCTCTGTGGTTACCAGGGATGGGGGATGGTACCCAGTGTGGCCAGCAGGGGCCTGGCTGATGGGGTTGGTGGTGGGAGTGTCTGCGTCATGGGCATACCCCCCAAGGGCTGGAAAGAGAAGAGAGGCAGTCAGTGATCTTACCATGGGGAGAGGCTGCCTGATGCACCCTCGGCTGCCGCCACCAAGAATGGTTTCAGGATCGGCAGCTTGGAGTTCTTGTCACTGTGCCTATAAAAAATAATTTTATTTTCTTTAATAACGAACATTTAAGGTAGAAGACTCAGACTCCTCCAGAGTCACCAGCCATCCTCCCATTCCCCTGGAGATAGTTTTGATTTATGAGTGTCTGGACTTTCTGCCAGCCTCTGTGTGTGTGTGAAATATGTCATAGTGTGGGGGTCACGCTCTTCTGTACGGGCTGACTTTCACTCGGCAATATATAAGAACGTTTCTCCTTGTCACTATTTTTAATGGCTGTGTAACGTTCCATCCCATGAACTGAACCCTGGAATCTCCTGTGGGCATCTAAGGCTCTTTCTATTACCCTTTCTTGCTGACAGATGGCCATCAGGCCGGTCCCCTCTCCAGGCCACCCCAGATGTTAGCTGTGGCTCCTCTTAAGCAGAAAATACACCTCCTGGCATGTTTCAGGGGTCCGAGGGAGACTAGCACTGTGGTTTCAAAGTTGAGTGTGGAAGGCGTCTCCTTGCTTCTCCGTCTGAAGTCTCCTGTTCTATAGGGCAGGCATCTCTCATTGACCTCCTGGTTTCCAAGGGCGCGGTGGTGAACGCCACGGACTATCATGGGTCCACTCCACTTCATCTGGCCTGTCAGAAGGGCTATCAGAGTGTGACGGTGAGTGGCGGGGCCATGGTGGGGCTCAGACGAGCCCGGCTCTGTGTGTCCCTGGTGCACTCATGCCAGCCGGCCGTGTCCAGCCCCCATCCCCAGCGTCATGCCTCCTTTGTCCCACACCAGCTCTGCTGTGGTAGCAGTGAGGGTCAGGGTCTGAGGCACTTTCCTGGGTCCACTGGACAAAATCATTAGATTTAGACTTGAAACTTCCTGATCATCTATGAGAAGAAAGGGTAGGATTGTGCTGGGCTTGGGGGCTCAGGCCTGTAATCCTGGCACTCTGGGAGGCTGAAGTGGGCAGATCCCTTGAGCTCAGGAGTTCGAGACCAGCCTGAGCAAGGACAAGACTCCATCTCTACTAAAAATAGAAAATCTAAACAGGTGTGGTAGTGAACTAAACCCAAGGTTCACACTATCCTCTCTCCATGGAGCCTGTAGTTCCAGCTACTCGGGAGGCTGAGGCAGGAGGATCACTTGAGCCCAAGAGTATATGAGGTTGCTATGAGCTATGACACCACGGCACTCTACCCAGGGTGACAAAGTGGGACTCTGTCTCCAAAAAAAAGAAAGGGTGGGGGGAGACTTACTTCTCCAATCTCTAAACTCTTTGTCAAGAAGGATAGTTTTATTTATTGATAGGTGGATTGATGGATTGATCGATCAGGTGAGACAGAGTTTCACTCTGTTGCCCTGGGTAGAGTGCTGTAGCTCACACCAACCTCAAACTCTTGGGCTTAGTGATCCTCCTGTCTCAGCCTCCCGAGTAGCTGGGACTACAGGGATCCACCACAATGCCCGGGCTAGTTTTTCTGTTTTTATTGGAGATGAATTTCACTCTTGCTCAGGCTGGTCTGGAACTCCCGAGCTCAAGTGATCCTCCATCCTGGGCCTCCCAGGGTGTTGGGATTACAGGTGTGAGCCACTGTGCCCAGCTCCTCAGCCCCAATGGTATAGTTTTCAGAGTGGCGTGAGTGAGTGAATAGCATTTAAGATGGGAACAAGTGACGTCCCCCTTCTAGACCCCGGTGGAGCTTCCCTAGGAGGCTATGTCTGTGTGGCCTGAGTGGCCTGTGTGGCCCAAGTGGCCCAAGTGGCTCTTGTGGCCCATGTGACCTGTGTGGCCCAAGTGGCCTGTGTGAGTCTAGTTCATGTGAGTCTAGTTCATCTGCTCTCTCTCCTCTTTGAAGCTGCTGCTGCTCCACTACAAGGCCAGTGCTGACGTGCAGGACAACAATGGCAACACCCCACTCCACCTGGCCTGCACCTACGGCCACGAAGATGTGAGTGGTGCCCACTCTTTCCGCATGGGCTGCTTGCCCCTTCCCCACCTACACAGAAATGCCTTTTTTTGTTGTTGTTGGGGATTCATTGAGGGTACAAGATACCAGGTTACACGGATTGCATTTGTTAGGTAACGTTGTGCTTATAATTGTGTCTTGCCCCCAAAAGGTGTGTCACATACTGAGACCCCCCTACCCCTCTCCCTCCTTCCCTCTCTGCTCTCCCCTTCCCCCACCCCCACCATGTCATTAATTGTCATTAATTGTCCTCATATCAAAATTGAGTACGTAGGATTCATGCTTCTCTACTCTCGTGATGCTTTACTAAGAATAATGTGTTCCACTTGCATCCAGGTTAATACAAAGGATGTAAAGTCTCCATCTTTTTTAATGGCTGAATAGTATTTTATGGTGTACATGTACCACAGCTTGTTAATCCATTCCTGGGCTGGTGGGCATTTAGGCTGATAGTAAATTGAGCTGCAGTAAACAGTCTAGTGCAAGTGTCTGTATGATAAAAGTTTTTCTTTCCTTCTGGGTAGATGCCTGGTAATGGGATTGCAGGATCAAATGGGAGGTCTAGCTTGAGTTCTGTGATGAGTCTCCATACTTCCCTCCAGAAAGGTTGTATTAGTTTACAGTCCCACCAGCAGTGTAAAAGTGTTCCCTTCTCTTCACATCCACGCCAGCATCTGCAGCTTTGAGATTTTGTGATGTGGGTCATTCTCGCTGGGGTTAGATAATATCTCAGGGTGGTTTTGATTTGCATTTCTCTAATAATTAGGGACAATGAGCATTTTTTTCATGTTTGTTAGCCATAGAAATGCCAATTTCTTCAATTTCTTTTTTTTTTGAGACAGAGCCTCAAGCTATTGCCCTGGGTAGAGTGTTGTGGCATCATAGCTCATAGCAACCTCCAACTCCTAGGCTCAAGTGATTCTCTTGCCTCTGTCTTCCAAGTAGTGGGGACTACAGGTGCCCGCCACAATACTTGGCTATTTTTTGGTTGCAGCCGTTATTGTTGTTTGGCGGCTCAGGTGTATGTGGCTGGTGCCTTAGCCATGTGAGCCACAGGCGCCGAGCCAGAAATGCCGATTTCTAATGAGTTGAACGGTTTTGTGTTGATAACTCTTGGAACATTGGGTGTGTATATCTTTTTAATTTAAAAAGAATTTTCAGTGTATTACAGATGCTTTATTGAAGTTACAGAAATCTAAAACTTAATTGCCCATTATCTTATCCTGAAATCAAATCATATCCATTCATCCCTGCCACCATCTTGTTCTTACTTTTATATGTATTCAGCTTCTGCCGTAACAACAAGGAATTTTTAAATTTCTCTCTTACTGTTTTACTGTGTGTGTGTTAATTTTTCTACCTACTTTTCCTCCCCCTTCTTGCTGTAGAGATACACAGGTAGATTTGTGCCCATGAGGGCTTACGCTGGGTTAGGTGGTTGATACTCAAATAGAGTCTGATGGTTTTTTTCAACTTCTTTTGTTTTGAGACAGAGTCTCTCTCTGTCACCCTGGGTAGAGTGCTGTGGCATCACAGCTCACAGCAACCTCCAACTCCTGGGCTCAAGCCATCCTCTTGTCCCAGCCTCCTGAGTAGCTGGGACTCCAGGCACCTGCTGTGGTGCCCGGCTGGACTCCATGTGTTTTTCTGCAGCTTGCCTTCCTAACTTAACCCTATGGAAATTCTTTAGGTGACTTGATATAGATCTAGGCCATTCTTTAATAGGTCAGGGGTCCAGGTGCACTGCATCAGAGGTCTCCACAACCAGCCCCAGGTTTAGTGCTCTGGTAGGACTCACAGGGCCAGCACATGGCTGCCCTTCCATCACAGTGAAAGGACACAGCAGAGTCAGCAAGGGAAGAGGCAGCTGGATGAAGTCCAGAGGAACAGGGTGAACGTCACACTGTCCTCATGAAGCCACATGGAACATGCTTAATTCCTCTAGCCGTGAGTCATAATGGGACAAGGGGCGTCCACCAGGGACGCTCACCAGGGACCCAGTGAGCTGGGGCTTCTACTGCAGGCTGGTCTTGGAAGCACCCAAACCTTGTACTCCCAGAAGGAAAGCAGGTGTTCAGAAGGAACCCATGCCATCGTGCAAAACAGTCTAGGCCCGGTGAGCTGCCTTACCAGCTAGGGAACTGTAGGAACACTCCCCAAACCCGAGTGCCCGTGGAAAGCTAGAGGACAGGGGACAGGGTGCAGGCAGGCCTCTCAGGGGCCACCATCTCAAGCTGCTATGGTAGCTCTGTTCTATACATGGGGACATCAAAGACCGGCTCAGTCCGCCATCTCTTACTGATTGGCAGCTGTGTCCTTTGAGGTGTACTGACATTTGGTTCTTTCTGTTTGTTGACACACACACACACACGCACACACACGCACACACGCCTGGTGAGTGGAGCCTCACTGAACTGGGATGTGGGCTGAAGTTAGGGGGAGCACAGATGCTGCCCAAGACGTCGCTGTTGTTAATGGTGTCACTCGCCATGGTCCCGCAGTGTGTGAAGGCTCTGGTCTACTACGACACGCAGTCATGCAGACTGGACATCGGCAACGAGAAAGGCGACACCCCCCTGCACATTGCTGCGCGCTGGGGCTACCAGGGCATCATAGAGACGCTGCTGCAGAATGGAGCCTCCACGGAGACCCAGAACAGGCTGAAGGAGACGCCCCGCACGTGCGCGCTAAACTCCAAGGTAGCGCTTTCCATCTCTGAGCGGCTGCAGCTTTAAAAAAAAATCAATATCCATAGATCAATCAGGTCTTGGCCTTGATGGACAAATTGTGCATTAGCTCCCGAGGGCAAAACGTGGCCTGCCCCCTCTCTGCTGCCCTCGGGACCTGCTTGTTACTTATTTATATCATTTTCAGTTTTACTGGCAGTTTTTTCTTAGCGTTCCCAGAACTGCTCCAGCGGAGTTTGCCTGGGCCTCTGAGTATGCTGATCTGTCCTTGAATAGAGAGTGTGAAAATGGGACAGAGGCTCATGGCAGAGCGGAGCGGGACGGAGTGGGGGCCGTGGCCCCGGCTCCTTCCCCTTTAGAGCCTGGAAACTGCCCTCCCATTTGGCTTCCTTTGAACGTCATGGGTTTTCTTCTGTGATGGTTTGTTAATTGAGCCCCCCACCTTCTCCTGGCAGTCATTTCTGGAAGCACAGTTTTGTTAACACATAGGGAAGAAGCTCCCCCAGTGTGAGTGGGAGGGAGCGTGGGCGCCTCTGGGAGGTGCCAGCTTTGGTGAGGGGTGCCTCACGGGAAGTGGGTGGGCAGAGCTCCCGGCAGGGCGGGCCAGCGGTGAGCACCCTGGGCCGTCCAGAGCAATCCTGTGTCCGGGTAGGTCTCTAGCTGGCCCCTCGGCACAGGCCCAGCTTTGTCCCTTTCGGTGTTGTACTGGCTCCCTGTAGCATGTGGGACGGTGGGTGTCCAGAAAGCTACCTGTGCTTGATGGAGAGAAACACCCTCCTGTGAGACCTCTCCACAATCTGCATGGTAACATCCCCGTCCCCTCCAGAGACACCGCCCGCCCTTGCCATTCACTGTTCCCGGGAGATGGGCAGTAGCCCCTGCCGGCTGTCCACACATGCACGGGGCCACAGCTGTGTGGCAGCTGGACCTGCCAGGACTGAGGTGCTGAGCTGCCCTGGGGTGGGGGTGGGGGGGCTCTTCTGCCACTGGAGTGTCTTTTTTTTCGATGTTGTTGTTGAGACAGAGTGTCATCCCTTTGCCCTTGGTAGAGTGCCGTGGTGTCACAGCTCACAGCAACCTCAAACTCTTGGGCTCAAGCAATTCTTTTGCCTCAGCCTCCAAGTAGCTGGAACTACCGGTTCTCAACATAATACCCAGCTAGGTTTTCTATTTTTATTTTCATTTATTTGTTTCTAGAGATAGTCTTATTGTTGTCCTGGATAGAGTACTATGGTATCATCACAGCTCACAGCAACCTCAAACTCTTGGGCTCAAGTGATCCTCTTGCTCCAGCCTCCTAAGGTGCTGGGACCATAAGCACCTGCCACAACACCTGAGTTTTTATATTTTTAGTAGAGACAGGGTCTTGCTCAGGCTGGTCTTGAACTCCTGACCTCAAGCAATCCACCTGCCTGGGCCTCCCAGAGTGCTAGGATTACAGGTGTGAGGCAGTGTGCCAGCCCCCCACTGTAGCTCCCACCAGAGGCCCTTCCGGAGGGCTGTGTGCAGGGGAAAGGAGCCAGCAGCCTCCCTGGAGTGGCTCTCAGCCGTTCCTGCTTCAGAGCCATGGGTGGCGATGGAGAAGCCATGCTTTCTGCTTGGGGGCTGGACGAGGTAGCCTTGGAGGCCCCTTCTTTGTCTGGTGGTCTCTTATCCTTGGAGTGGTGTGTGGGAAGCCCTGACCTCTCCCGTGGGACAGGAGGAGCACACACGGTATGAAGGTGAAACCTGACTTTGTAGGTGTGATCCTGGGTTGGTCGCCACCTGCTCTGGGTCTTGGTCTCTCTCTCTGTCCAAAGGTATGGCTGGGCCACTCGATCTGAGACTCTGGCCGAGCCTCGTTCGGAGGAGGCAGGCAGGCTGGGGTGTGTGTGGGAGAAGGCACTTTATTGAGGTGACACCTGTTTCACTGGGCACTGTTCACACCCTTGTCCTTCCAGATCCTCTCTGTCATGGAAGTCCGTCATCCGTCCCTGGAGAGGAGGCCGAAGTCTTCAGAGGTACGTCAGCAGCGCTGTGCCAGGTGGTTGCACTGGGGACCAGGAGGGGCCCCTCTGTGGCCTTTGCGTGTCTGTGTGTCCACATCTTTCCTCTGGCTGCATGCAGGTCCCGGTGACGTCCCCTCAGCGCTCCATGGATTCCATCAGCCAGTGCTCCTCCACCTCCAGCTTTTCTTCCGTGTCGGCAAGCTCCAGGCCGGAGGACAGCAGGAAAGATTATAGAGAGGTGACGCTTCCAGACTGGAGGGTGGGGAAGGGGACCGGGGGTGACGCTTCCAGACTGGAGAGCAGGGAAGGGGTCCCGGAGCCCTGTGGGTATGGCAGCCCGTTACAGAGCCATAGCCTGATGAGGGCTGCCCTTTCAGCCCGTTGGCCAGTTGTTGCCGGGATAGCTAGTTCTTTTCTGTGGCCAAGGTCACTGCCTTCAACGTGGGCCCAGCTGCATTTCACAGTGCTTGTCACTTGTCCTTGCCTTTCATGGTCTGTGTCCTCGGTAGTTCTTTGCTTGGTGGAGTGTGTATGTAATAGAGAAGAGAGGGAGGGAAGGAGAGAGGGAAGATTCTAGGAGAAGTACAGGTCAGGCCACCCACAGGTCCAGTGATTTCAGACCATCTTACAAGTGTGTGTGTGTGTGTGTGTGTGTGTGCAGTGTTCTCTGCCCGTTGCCCTCTGTTTCTCTGCCCTATTGCACCCCTGTTAATAACATAATGGGCATCATTCCCCACTTCTTAAAAACTCTATGTAGATGCGTGCATGGTGTTTTGGAAAAGCGGGTTTGAATCTTGTTCACTTGTCTTAGAGCTTGTTCAGTGTCAGAGGTGGGTCTGCCCAGTCCGACTGCAGGCTGCCAGGGTCTGGATGTCTTTCATTCCCGTCGGCAGCTCCCTGTGAGTGGGGACCCCTTCACTGACCCCACCCTAGTGTCCCTCCACCCCCGGGATGTGACCTGCTCTTGGAGGGCCCTGTAAGCTCAGCCTGATGTAAAACCACAGCAGAGAACATCAAGGTCAAAGGCTGACAGAGACCTGAAATCTCTCCCAGGACAGGCGTCTACCCTTGTGGCATCTCAGACAGGGCCAGGCTCAGAATCACAGGACTGACTCTTACCTTGACCCAGGACTGACTCTCACCTTGACACATAAATGGCAGTTACACCTTCTTTTTTTATATACCTTTCTAAAAAATTTTTTGATTAAGTCTCACTCTTTTCTCCCTGGATAGAGTGCTGTGATGTCATCATAGCTCACAGCAACCTCAAGCCCTTGGGCTCAATCAATCCTCTTGCTTCAGCCTCCTGAGTAGCTGGGACTACAGGCACTTGCCACAACACCGTGGCAGTCTGTGCCAGAGTGAGACCCTGTCTCTAATAGTTTTTCTATTTTTAGTAGCGATGGGGGTCTCATTCTTGCTCAGGCTGGTCTCAGACGCCTGAGCTCAGGAACCCACCTGCCTCAGCCTCCCAGTGTGCCAGGATTACAGGTGTGAGCCACTGTGCCTGTCCTGTACACCTTCAATGGCAAAGGGTTCCATGCACACCAGCAGCTTCCTAGGATGTCCTAGCTGAGTAGTTTCAGGGATGTGTTTGAAAGATGCTAAATGAGTCCTCAAAACTCTACCAAGCAGGAGGCAAGTAAAAGCCAGTGGCCTTTTGGAATGTGTACACTATTTCAATCATGAGTTTATTATTGAAGTCATTTTACTAACATTCTCCTTCCTTTTATTAAGGTAGAAAAACTTCTACGAGCGGTTGCTGATGGAGATCTAGAAATGGTGAGTTTTTAGATGTGCATTTTAAAAAGCCTGCCCTTGGTTTAAAACAAGGTGTTCTGACTCCAGCTCATTTTCAAGCCGTGTGGAATCTCTGTTCAGTGTCTCCTAGAAGGTGGTCTATTTAATGAATATTTGGTAATGGATGTTATATTTTCTCAACAAGTAAAATTGAAGCAGATTTTGTTTGTTTGAGACAGAGTCTCACTCTGTCACCGTGGGTTGAGTGCCATGGCATCATAGCTCACAGCAACCGTAAACTCCTGGGACTGAGCAGTCCTCCTGCCTCAGCCTCCCGAGTAGCTGGGACTACAGGCGCCCACTTCTATGACTGGCTAGTTTTTCTATTTTTAGTAGAGATGGGGATCTCTGAGATCTTGCTCAGACTGGTCTCAAACTCCTAAACTCAGGCAGTCCTGCCTTGGCCTCCCAGTATGTTGGGATTACAGGTGTGAACCACCTTGCCTGGCCAGAGGCAGATTGACATAAAGGCTGGTGAAGCTGGTCCCTGCCTTTTAGACAATAGGATTCCAGGAATGTGCTGAGCTATCTGCAATAAGACCAGACCACATCCAGGACACAGAGTGTGGACTCAGAGCAGAGTGAGTGTGGACTCAGAGCAGAGTGAGGGCCTGCTTTTAAGAGAACACGGGGGCTGGGCAAGGGGGCTCACGCCTGTAATCCTAACCACTCTGGGAGGTTGAGGTGGGTGGATTGCTTGAGCTCACAGGTTCAAGACCAATCTGAGCCATAGTGAGACCCTGTCTCTAAAAATAGCTGGGCATGCTGGTGGGTGCCTGTAGTCCCAGTTACTCGGGAGGCTGAGACAAGAGAATCCCCTGAACTCAAGAGTTTGAGGTTGCTGTGAGCTATGACACCATGGCACTCTACTAGGGGTGACAAAGTGAGACTGTCTCAAAAAAAAAAAAATTAAAAGCTCAGAGCCTGTGACTCAAGTGGCTAAGGCGCAAGCCACATACACCTGAGCTGGTGGGTTTGAATCCAGCCAGGTGTCTGTCCTTACCGGCCGACAGTGAAATCAGTGGACAGTGGAGAAGCCTTGGTTAGATCCCCATGGGCAGTTCCCCTGGGCTGTCTTCAGCTTCCTGAGAGGAATGTGACTTACACTCTTAATGGAGTAGTGAATTAGGTGCTTACCAAATTAGCAGCTCTGAATAAATCATATTACAAGAGAGCTTTTCAGGGGTGTGTATCTCTAGAGCACTGTCCGTTGGTGATTGAGCCTGAGGCAATGTACACACATCGCTGGGATCCGGTTATAAAAGCAGCCTCTGGGCCATGGAGAGTCTGAACGTAGTTACCAGGGTATTATTAGCCTTTGCCCAGGGCTACCCTTCACCTGGCAGGATGACAGCAGGGTTCCCAGTGATACAGGTGTCTGTGTCTGGGTGACGCTGGGATGCTGCTTGCCCTGGTCTGTGTGCTGCGGTGGAAGGAGCCCTGAGAGGCGGTCGTGTGTCTGGAGGGAGGGGGGAGGGGGTTATCTGGCTTACAGTTCTACAGGCTGCACAAGCACCTGGGGGCAGCGGGCAGCGTCAGCTTCTGGCTGGGGCCTCAGGCTGCTTCCACTCCAGCTGGAAGGAGCAGGGGGAGGTGTAGGGGCCCCAGGGCTAGAGAGGAAGGGGGCAGTGACCGCTCTTTTCACAACCAGCTCTCCCAGAACTTTTTTTTTTTTTTGAGACAAAGTCTTATTCTGTCACCTTGGATAGAGTGCTGTGGTGTCATAGCTCACTGCAACCTTAAACTCTTGGTCTCAGGCCATCCTCCTGCCTCCCATCCTGAGTAGCTGAGACTACAGGTGCCTGCCACAACGCCCAACTGATTTTTCTATTTTTAGTAGAGGTGGGGTCTAGCTTTTGCTCAGGCTGGTCCTGAACTCCTGAGTGATCCTCCTGAGTGATGCTCCCATCTAGGCCTCCCACAGTGCTGGGGTTACTGGTGTGAACCACCGTGCTCAGCCTCTTTGGGGAACGTTGACAGTGAAAACTCACTGTTTACAGTGAGGCTGGCTCCAGGCCATTCACAGGAAACTGAGCCTCCCGTTAGGCCCCCTGGCTCCACCACTGGGGAGTAGATTTCAGCAGGAGGTGTGGGGTTGTGCACAGCCATACCCGAGCTCTTCTCTCACGAGATCCGCCTGGGAGAACCCAGCACTCTTTGGAGGAAGCATGGGGCAACCCTCAGCCCCATGTCACAAGTGTCTGCTCTTCTGCTATGGGTGGGCAGGGGCTCAGCCGGGTGAGCAGACACAGGCCACCAATGCCCTGTGGTCACCATCCCAATGAATCCCTAGAGCCTCCCAACCCCCATCTGAGCCCACCTGCCTGGCAGTCCCTTCCCCACCTGGTTCACCCCCTTCTTCCCACCTGGAGGAACTGCTGTGGCCTGTCCCAGCTGGCCTGTCAGGTGAGGCCCTGCATAGAAGCTTTTGGTGTTTTCACCCCCAGAGTGTTCAGGGGAGTGATCTGGGAGGCATCCGAGGGAGGGGATGTTTGTGGCAGGGGTGTCTGTGCCTCCCAGTGGCCATGTGCCAACTTACTCGGTGCTTATAAACAGGCCTAGAAATGTGCTTATATCGTTTTCTTTTCTCACATTTAATATACTAGAAACTCGTGTTTATTGGGACATACATTTGACCTGTTTGGGGGTCTTTCACATCCTTGCATTGGGAGGCTGGGGTTGGAGGATTGCTGGAGTCGAGGAGCTTGAGGCCGCAGAGCTCTGTGATCTGTGAACGGCCACTGCCTCCCTCCTAGGCAACATTACGAGACCCTGTGTCTTTAAAAACAAACAAAAACATTCACCTGTGGGCTGGTGCTTTCTAGCTGAGAGGAGATCGGGAGATTCAGGGAGGCTGGGGAGGCCGAGTCTTGGTTCCCTCCACCACTTCCTAGGGGCGTCCTCAAATCAGTTGTTGGCTTCCCAGAATGAGTTTTCAGTGAAGGGAGAGAGGGGTCTGGAGCCTGCTGGCAGGTTGCTGGCTATGTGCAATTAGATGCCGTCAGAGGAGGCGCTCTCCAGTGCCCTGCGGGCAGCTTTTGAAGCTGTCACCCTGAGGCAAGATAGAAGAGGGGGGGGGTGGGGTGGGGTGGGGGGGGGGTGGGTCTCCAACAGGCTGCAAAGGGTAGCTCGGTCTCTGTCACCAGTGGGGTTTGGAAAGCCTGAGCACAGCTGGCCCCGGAGTCTTCATGAGGGGGCACAGGGCGCGTGGTGGGGGAGACAGGCGTGTGGCCCTGATCTGAGAGTCCCCTGTGTGTGTGTTAAAGGTCCGTAGCTGCTCAGAGCCAGGGTGGTCTGGAGCCCGTTTCTTCTCCTTCCCCTCGGCAGGTGCGTTACCTTCTGGAGTGGACAGAGGAGGACCTGGATGACGCTGAGGCTCCTGCCAGTGCAGCTGACCTGGAATTCTGTCACCCCCTGTGCCAGTGCCCCAAGTGTGCTCCAGCTCAAAAGGTCTGGCTTTGCTCCTGGTGGGGCAGGGGTTGGGGGTGACTCTTTTTCCTCCCCTTACGAAACTTTTGTGCTTCTCAGCCCGACAGTACTGTGCTGAGTGGCTGTCCCTGAGCTCTACTGGGGACCGACCAGTCAGGGGTGGAGAGAAGCTGCCACCAGAGCAGGGTTTGGCTGGGGCTGCCTTGCTGGATGGGCAGGTGTGTGCGTGGGGTTTGCCCCCGTGTCGCAGGCTTCTCCGGCCCCTTGGGTCACCTGGCAGGACTTTATCTATTTATTTATTTTGTTTGCAGTTTGGCCAGGGCTGGGTTTGAACCTGCTACCCTCAGTATATGTGGCCGGTGCTCTACCCACTGAGCCACAGGCACCGCCCAGGACTTTATTTTGTTTTTTATTTTTTTGAGACAGAATCTCACCATGTTGCCCTTGGTAGAGTGCATGGTGTCACAGCTCACAACATCCTCAAACTCTTGGGCTTAAGTGATTCTCTTAACCTCAGCCTCCCAAGTAGCTGGGACTACACAGGTGGCTGCCACAATGCCCGGCTATTTTTGTTGCAGTTGTCATTGTTGTTTAGCTGGCCCGGGCCCTGTTTGAATCTGCCACCCGTGGTGTATGTGGCTGGCACTATAACCACTGTGCTACAGGCTCTGAGTCAACCATCTATGGTCTTAATTCACTCACCAGAATGCCCCAAGTTCTGTGCAGATGTGTGATCTGCGTCTCCACTATTCATTCAAGATCAAAAACGGTCCCCTCAGCACAAGAAGAGCCCTCATGCTACCTTTGATATCTCCCACCGTCCCTAACCCTGGCAACTTAACAATTCTTCATTTCTATAATTTTGTCATTTCAAAAATGTTACAGAAGCACAGTCGTGCAGTAGATATACCCTTTTGAGATTGCCGTGGTTGGCTGAGTGTGATTCCAGGTGATTGCCGGCAGTCAGCAGTCTACTCCTTTATTGTTGGGTAGTATTCCACGGGGCTTGGCTGGGGGGATCACTGCAGCTCTGCTACTCTGCCCTTTGTTACTGGACCACTCCCCATACTTCCCAACCTCACAGTTTACTACTTACTTATTTATTTTTTCAGACAGGCATCTCGCTCTGCTGCCCAGACTAGTCAGCCTAGGTCACAGCAACTTCAGACACCTGGATCCTCCTGCCTCACTGTCCCAAGTAGCTGGGACTATGGGCACCAGCCACGATCCCTGGCTAGTTTTTCTATTTTTAGTAGAGACAGGGTCTCCCTCTTGCCCAAGCTGGTCTCAAACTCCTGAGCTCAGGTGATCCTACTGCCTCCTTCCCAGAGTGCTGGGATTACAGGCATGAGCAGCCACGCCCAAACATAGCTCACTGTTTTTAACAAGACATTGAATTACACATTAAAATATCTTTTGAAGGCCCGGCATGGTGGCTTACATCTATAATCCTGGCACTCTGGAAGGCTGAGGCAGGTGGATTGCTTGAGCTCAGGAGTTTGAGACCAGCCTGAGCAGGAGCAAGATCCCATCTCTAAGATGTGGCAGGAGCTTGTAGTCCCAGCTACTCGGGAGGCTGAGGCAGGAGTTTGAGGTTGCTGTGAGCTATGACACTACGGCACTCTACCCAGGGCGACAGAGTGAGACTGTCGCAAAGAAATAAATACATAAAATGTCTTTTGAACTTGTTGGATAAAATCTTACACTCTCTGTTCTTCTCAAAGCTTTTCCTCAAAATTGCTCAAAAAGACATAACACTGAATTGCTTCTTATCTTTGATTGAATTAAAATCCACCCCCATCTATTCTAGCCCAGGATTGTGTTTAAAATTTGTTTTTAAATCTTTTATTGAAGTGTAATTTACAGAGAGTGAAGTGTACCTACTCAAAGTATACAACATGATGAGTTTTATAGGTATATGACCCTGTGAAACCACCCCTCAGTCAGGGTACAGACTGTCTCCGTCACCCGTCACTGCCAGGTCTTCCCTGATCTCCTTCACACCCCCTCCATCCTTCCTCCCTCTCTGCTCCCCGCTCCCCCCTCTCAGGCAGCCACTGACCTGCGTCCCATCATCATAGATTAGTTTGCACCTTGTAGAGTTTTGTGTAACATGGAATCATGAAGTACAAAGTATATTATGTCTGGCCTCTTTCTTCTCAGGATATATATTTTTTAATTTTTGAGACAGAGTCTCACTCTGTCCCCCTGGGTATGTGGCATCACAGCTCCCAGTAACCTCCAACTCCTGGGCTCAAGCCATCCTCCTGCCTCGGCCTCCCAACTAGCTAGGACTACAAGCATCCACTATAGTGCACAGCTAGTTTTCTGTTTTTAGTAGAGATAGGTCTCGCTCTTTGCTCAGGCTGTTCTCAAACTTCTGAGGTCAAGTAATCCTTCGGCCTCAGCCTCCCAGAGTGCTAGGATTACAGGCGTGAGCCACCGCGCCCCACCACTAGATAACATTTTTAATCATCAGAAAGTGAATTGGATACCCCCTGCTTTAATCAGCAATCAGCCACGTAAAACACTGACCTACCAACTCAGTATGTAATTTGTACATTTCACTGTCAGAATGTGTGATTCAGTAGCATAACTTGGTGTTTGTTTTTAGTTACGTAGTGTCTGTGCCAGTTTTGTTTGCCCTTTTGATTGTTCTGACTTAGAGCCCACAGTGAATAAGGAGGTAGTTTCATGACAGACATGAAGGGGATGTGGGGAGACCGGCAGGGTGCTGTTTTGTGCGGTGACAGCGGAGCTCACAGAAGATGCAGAGACGCTCTCCTGTCCCCTGGGCTCTCCTGCTCTTGACCTTCCTCTCCCGGAATCTCTTGACTCCGGTTTTATTATTCTTGACTCTGATCTGTCTTTCCTGGTCACTAACAGTGTTAGCATTTTTTTCTGAGCCCGCTGACTAAATGTCCAGCTCTTTTCTTTTGTGAAAGGTCTGTTCACGTTTTATGCCTTTAAAAAAAAATGTTGGATTTTCTTATTGCGTTCTCCTTTTTTAAATTTTAAACTTAAAATTTTTACAATTCTGGTTAGGACAAGTCCTTTGAGATACCTACATTGCAAACATTTTTTTCCATTCTGTGACTTGCCTTTTCTTTTTCCTTTTTCTTTTTGGTTTATTTTTGAGACAGAGTCTTACTTTGTCGCCCCTAGTAGAGTGCGGTGGCATCATAGTTCACAGCAACCTGTACCTCTTGGGCTCAAGTGATCCTCTTGCCTCAGCCTCTTGAGTAGCTGGGACCACAGGCGCCCACCACCATTCCCAGCTATTTTTGGAGACAGGATCTTGCTCTGGCTCCTGCTGGCCTCAAACCTCATGTGAACTCAGGCAGTCCACCCGCCTCAGCCCCCCAAATGCTGGGATTACAGGTGTGAGCCACCACACCCGGCCCCTTTTCATTTTCTTGTGTTCTTCAAAGAGCAAACATTTAAAATTATGATTAAGTTCAGTTTATGAAACTGTTTTGAGATTGCCGTGGTTGGCTGAGCGTGATTCCAGGTGGTTGTGGGCAGTCAGCAGTCACTTTTTGTGTCTGAGAAATCATTGTTTATTTCAGTGTTGCAAGCATTTTCTTCCGTGCTCCCTGTTCTAGCTGCAGCATCTGTGCTGAAGGCCCTGCTGCCTTTTAGCCCCGTGTCAGGTGGGAAGTGAGGGCTGATGTGCAGTGACTCCACGCAGAGGTGCCACAGGTTCCTGCACCTGCGTCTAACAGACCTGACTCTCCCCACTGGAGTGCCTGGCAAAACAGGGCCTCATTTAGGAGACTTGCTTTATTGACCGTAGAATGAGTCTTTGGGACGGTCGCTCCTTTATGATCTCATAGGACTCACCTGGGGCAGTGCAATTCTGAATCCTGCTGTAATCCCCAGCTTTGCCCAGGAGCTGTGAGGGCAGATGGCTTCAGATCCTTCAGCCTGATTTCCTGACTCCTAATGACATGCATTTCCATCTTCTGCACTCTCATTAGAAGCTGGCAAAGATTCCTGCCAACGGGCTTGGTGTGAACGTGACCAACCAGAATGGCTCCTCCCCGCTGCACGTGGCCGCCCTGCACGGCCGGGCGGACCTCATCCCGCTGCTGCTGGAGCACGGCGCCGACACAGACGCCAGGAATGCCAGCCACGCCGTCCCGCTGCACCTGGCCTGCCAGCAGGGCCACTTTCAGGTACGCGGGACCCCCCTTTAGCTAGGGCTGTAGGAGGTAGGAGTGTGGCAGGAGGGTGCTAGGCTTGGTGGCTAGCCCAGGGGACGTGGCCCTCCTGGCAGCCTGGAGATTCTTTAGTGTACACAGCAGCCTGGGAACACAGAACTTTGGTGTTTTCTGGGGGGGAGCAGGCCACCCCCTCCCCAGTGCCAGTTACTCTGGGTGCTGCTGGGCCTGCGCTCTGATCTGACCCCGACAGGAGCCGTCTCCTGTGCTTGGCTGTTGGTCATTTTACCATCCATCTATACGTCCTGTAGCCCTGAGTGATTGGGTTCAAGAGATAATTCTGGAATAATTAACTTTTTAAAAGTCCTATTTTTCTTTTAGGGAATTATCTATATGTATATATTTTTCTTTTTTGAATTCCCCTGTAAGCTTTTTTTTTTTTTTTGAGACAGAGTGACTCTGTCGCCCTGGGTAGAGTGCCGTGGCGTCACAGCTCACAGCGACCTCAGACTTTTACACTCAGGTGATCCTCCTGCCTCAGGTTTTCTATTTCTATTTTTATTATTTATTTATTTATTTTGAGACAGAGTCTCATCATATTGCCCTTGGTAGAGAGCTGTGGTGTCACAGCTCACAGCAACTTCAAACTCTTGGGCTTAAGGGATTCTCTTGCCTCAGCCTCCCAAGTAGCTGGGACTATAGGCACCTGGCACAACACCGGCTATTTTTTTTTTTTGCAGTTTTTGGCCAGGGCTAGGTTTGAACCCACCACCTCCAGCATATGGGGCTGGCACCCTACTCCTTTTAACCACAGGCGCCGCCCAGCACTGGCTATTTTTTATTGCCGTTGCCATTGTTGTTTAGCTGGTCCAGGCTTGGTTGAAACCTGCCAGCCTTGGTGTATGTGGCTGGCGTTGTAACCACTGTGTTATGGGTGCCGAGCCAGTTTTTCTGTTTTTAGTAGAAATAGGGTCTTGCTTTTGCTCAGGCTGGTCTCCAACTCCTGAGTTCAAGCAATCTGCCCTCCTCAGCCTCCAAGATTGCTAGGATTACAGGAGTGAGCCACTGTGCCAGCCTCTACTGGAAGCTTTTCAAAGACAGGGACAAGACTGGGCACGGTGGCTCATGTCTGTAATCCCAGCTTCTGGGAGGCCAAGGCAGGTAGATTGCCTGAACTCAGGAGTTCAAAACCATCCTGAACAAGATTGAGACCCTATCTCTACTAAAAATAGGAAAATTAGCTGGGTATGGTGGCAGGTGCCTGTAGTCCCAGATGCTCAGGAGCCTGAGGCAGGAGAATCATTTGAGCCCAGGAGTTTGAGGTTGTTGTGAGCTATGACGTCAGGGCCTTCTACCTAAGATGACAGAGTGAGACTCTGTTTAAAAAGAAAAGAAAAAAAGAAGAGATAGGACCCATATCCAGGTCTTCTAGCTCTTTGATAAATGCCTAGCACAGTGCTTCCATCTGTTTACTAATTTATCCAGCTGGGCAATAATTTCAACTCCCCATAGGACAGACACGAAGATTAAATGAAAACACAGGTGCTGAGCACAGGCCCAGCACAGAGGCAAACCCTCAGTGCATGTTAACCCCTCCCTTCACTGGGCTCCTTGCTCCTGAGGGTCAGACGTGAATCTAGAGAGTCTTTTCAGTAAACTTAGGGAAAAGTCTGAAGCAGAGACTTTCAGTGGGGGTGCCACCACACACTGGTGTGTGGTGAGAGGATCTCAGGGGTGCCCTGAAAATTTGTAAATATCAGGCTTGGTGGCGCCCGTAGCTCAGGGTGCCAGCCACAGACACAGAGGCTGGTGGGTTCAAACCTAGCCCAGGCCTGCTAAACAACAATGACAACTGCAAAAAAAAAAAAGCCAGGACCAGGCGTTGTGGTGGGTGCCTGTAGTCCCAGCTACTTGGGAGGCTGAGGCAAGAGAATCACTTAAGCCCAAGAGTTTGAAGTTGCTGTGAGCTGTGATGCCACAGCACTTTACCCAGGGCAACATAGTGAGACTCTTGTCTCAAAAAAAATTTTTTTTTGGTAAAGATCATTAATTAAATTACTTTCAAAAGAAGTTCAAAGCACAGTAAGCACGTTCCTTCTTTTTTTTTCCTCTTCTTTTTTGATCACTGTAATTTAAGTGCCCCGCAGAAGTGTAAATATAGGGTCAAGTGTTCTGTGAGATGAAAACGGTTGAAAAACACTGGTCTAAAGAATATCAGGTGGGAGGGCTTTTCCCTGCAGAGTTCCATTAAGGTCAAAAATGTTTCTTCTCTGAACTAGGTGGTGAAGTATCTACTAGATTCTAACGCAAAACCCAATAAGAAGGACGTGAGTGGGAACACCCCCCTCGTTTATGCCTGTTCTGGCGGCCACCACGAAGTCGCAGCTCTGTTGCTCCAGGTGAGGGTTCTCACAGCCCACCCAGGCACACCTGCTCCTGTGGGTACCACCCCTGCCCCTGGTGAAGCACCAGGACTGAGCGCCGTTGCACCTGCTCCTGTGGGTACCACCCCTGCCCCTAGTGAAGCCCTGGCACTGGGCACCCTGGCACCTGCACCCAGTGAAGCGCCAGGACTGGGCACTCTGGCACCTGCTCTGGTGCATACAGCCCCTGTACCCAGTGAAGCCCTGGCACTGGGCCTGGAGAAAGCCTCTCCCCCCGTGCTATCAGCTGGCCCATGGTCAGCCACAGGCCTCTGGGGAGAGGAGCTTGGCACCTGCATTCCCACATGGGATGGTGCGGTACCATCCGTGCTTCAGTGGGTAGGCGGCCCTGAGGCCCAGGACACCACCTTGCTGAGACTTGGGTCTTGCCTCATGTAGGTGGTATGTTGAGCTCTTACCTGAGTGTGAGCTGAGTGGCCTTCTCTGTCACTGCTGCTCTTTTACCTCTTTTTTTTTCTTTTTCTCTTTTTTGAGACAGTCTTACTCTGTTGCCCTGGGTAGAGTGCTGTGGCATCACAGCTCACAGCAACCTCAAACTCCTGGGCTCAAGCAATCCTCCTGCCTCACCTCCAGAGTAGCTGGGACTACAGGCGCCCACCATCACACCCAGCTAGTTTTTCTGTTTTCAGTAGAAAAGGGGTCTTGCTCTTGCTCAGGCTGGTCTTGAACTCCTGGCTCAATCCGCCAGCCTTGGCCTCCCAGAGTGCAGGGTTTACAGGTGTGAGCCACAGTGCCTGGCCACGTTTTCCCATTTGTTAAGTGGTTATACAAAGTGCTTGTAGACAAACAAATTTAAAGCAGCAGAGAAAAAAACAAAAAAACTCATCCCTCACCCTCCTACTCAAAGGCAAAAACTTTTAAAAACTTTTAAAAACTTTATGTGTAGTTTTGATCAGTTTTCAATCTTGCTGTTTTTCATATAATGTAGAACATTGCTTACTAAGACCTTAATTTTAAGTTAGTGGTTGCATAAATGTGGATGTACCATACTGTTTTTTAAAAAATTGTTCCTTCTTGTCCAGGCCAGGTGGCTCATGTCTCTAATCCCAGCACTCTGGGAGGCCGAGGGGGGTGGATGGCTTGAGCTCAGGAATTCAAAACCAGTCTGAGCAAGAGTGAGATGCCATCTCTACTGAAGGTAGAGAAACTAGCTGGGTGTTGTGGCAGGCACCCGTAGTCCCAGCTACTTGGGAGGTTGAGGCAGGAGGATCGCTGGAGCCTAGGAGTTGGGGTTGCTGTGAGCTATGACAGCACAGCACTCTGCCCAAGGTGACAGAGTGAGACTCAAAGGAAAAAGAAAGATTGTTCTTGCTTTGTGCATTTCAGTGGCTTCTGTGTTTTTTTGCTGTAATGATAAATGCTGGAGTGAACGTCTTTGCCCATAAATCTTTTTCTTAGTATGCCTTTGACCCCCCAAATTTTGAGAAACTCAGACCGACCGTAAGGCTGACGTGTCTCCCCGTGAATGCCAGGCACCCAGCCTGGACACTGCCGCGCGCTCCTTCTGACCGCGCTGCCGTTTCTCTTCCCAGCACGGGGCCTCCATCAACGCTTTCAACAACAAGGGCAACACGGCGCTGCACGAGGCTGTGCTGGGGAGGCACGTCTTCGCGGTGGAGCTGCTCCTGCTTCACGGAGCCTCCGTTCACCTGCTGAACAAGAGGCAGCGCACAGCCATTGACTGCGCCGAGCAGGTGAGCGGAGAGAGCGCTGGGGCCCTGGGAATCCCAGGCTCCCTGACAGCTCACTCTGGAGTCCTTGTGTCTAATCGGATCTGAAATAGAATAGCCAGACATTGACTCTGTGTGCTGCACTGCACTGGTGCTCTAGAAGGCTGCCAGCGCCCATCGATGCCTCCCTGTGGGTCACCTGGTCAGGGGTGGCGTGCTCAGCAACCCTGAATCATCACTGCACGGTGGCTTACAGAGGCCTCGTGCAGCTAGTCCCCTAAGCCACCAGCAGACACCCTTGTCTGACACCCTCTCATGAAGTCTGGTACTCAGGACTAGGAGCAAGTTAAGACATTGTTCTAGGCCTGGTGTAGTGGTGGCTCACGCCTGTAATCCCAGCACTCTGGGAGGCTGAGGTGGGTGTATCCCTTAAGCTCAGGAGTTCCAGACCAGCCTGAGCAAGAATGAGACCCCTTCTCTAAAAAAAATAGAAAAAACTAGCTAGGTATCGTGGTGGGCCCCTGCAGTACAGCTACTCAGGAGCCTGAGGCAAGAGGATCACTTGAGCCCAGGAGTTTGAGGTTGTGTGAGCTATGATGCCACAGCACTCTACCCAGGGTGACAGAGTGAGATTGTCAGACAAAATCAAAAACGAGGGTGTTCTGGTTTCATCAGCCCTGTGGTGTAAAGAGACCTGTCGCCTTAGTGGCACAAGATAGAAAGTTTGTTTAAAGTTTGTGGCTTTAAAATCCCTTGAGTTCTGTAAGGACAGTTGTGACGACCAATTTACCACCTCCAGGGCCGTGGAGAACTCGGTAGGCAGGGAGTCCCTGGGGATAAAGTACCTCTTTTTGTTCCTGTTTTCATGCTGAATGTTTGTCTAGTTTTCTGTCTGGGAGAGAGAGCTAGGAGGCTGTCCAGTTACACAACTGATACGTTATAGTTGCCGTAAATCCTCCTACTCAAAAGTGTATTATGTTAATTTTTCATTTTCAGGAACAGAAGTGAAATATTGTAAACTTTCAGTTTAGTCCTATCTGAAATGAGGAAGATAACCGTGTTTTATTGAAACTTCCTACGTGGTGAGCCCTTGATAACCTGGTGATGACCAGACAATAGCAGATCTTACTGTCAGCACAGTTTCCGGGAGTGGTTCAGCGCCCAGCCACAGCAGCGGGCAGAGACAGGCCCCCACGCCTCTACCGCCAGGCTTTGTGGATCTTTCCTTGTTTCAAGTTGCATCTGTCCTTGTTTCTAAGTTTTTCCTGCGTAGCCACACTCACCAATGTTGACATTTAGATTGCAAACAAGTCCTACCCTGCTAAGAAAGAGTTAAAACTATTACCGTTAACCTTTTTCCTTTTCAAACTGTAGAATTCGAAAATAATGGAATTACTTCAGGTTGTACCAAGCTGTGTTGCCACGTTAGATGATGTTGCTGACGCAGACCACAAGGATTACGTTACTGTCAAGATCAGGAAAAAATGTAAGAACTTACGTTCTTTCTACCATTCTGAAGCTGGGCTTATGTTGAGATTCATGAGCAGTTGCTGGTTTTCATTTAATTATAAATGTAAGATATAATTACGACTTGATGGGGGCTACAGGTGCCAAAGCCATAAATGTTACATCCTAACTTAGCTGATGTGGGGTACGCTTTACTTTTGTGGTTGATGGCAAAGATGTCCGAGTAAGAAATAAGGCAGAAACTCTCAGCATGACCTTGAAGGGTCAGGCCTCCACTTACGAACTGGACAGGAGGAGCGACCTCTCCTGGGCTCGTTCATGCTTTGTGGTCCAAAGACAGGTGTTCTTCTGAGCATGTCCCAGACAATGAGAGTAACTGCTGCCTTTAAGGATTTTTAATTCCCAGATGTACAGAGGCTCATGGTAATTAGAACAGCAGTGGGACTGACGTATTTTTTCTTTAATTGTGACGTGAATTTGTAATGCAATAATGTGAATAAACCCACTTGCTTATTTAGACAATCCCAAGCCTGTCTCACCAGGCCTGGCTGTAGCTGGGAAATCTCAGTGTATTAAGGACTTACCTTTCCGTTTCATGGGGGTTCAGGCTGAGTATCCCTCATCTGAAACACTTGGAACCAGAAGGATTTGGGGTTTGGGATCTTCTTTGGAAGTGGGAGCATTTGCATGACACTCCCTGGCTGAGCGTCCCTAATCGGGAAGTCAGAGATGTGCCAGGGAGACTGATTGCCTTTGAGCTTCAAGTCAGATACCAAAACGTTTCAGTTCTGGATCCTTTTGGATGTCTGACGTTTGGGTTGGGGATACTCAGCAGTAATAAATAGCTGTCTGCTGTTTCCCTAATAAAATTCAGTGCTTACTTTTCTAAACTTTATAAATAAACTAAGATAACTGGAATATTACATCTGTGCTACAATTTAAAAACAATCTTTAAGCCATAGTTTATGTTTCAGATGTTTATCCTTTTCTCCCCAGGGAACTCAAAAATTTATGATCTACCAGATGAACCTTTTACAAGACAATTTTACTTTGTCGGCTCTGCCGGTCAGTTTAAGTGAGTATAAAATTGGAGATGGTTTCCGAGCTCCTGACCCTGCGGTTTACTCATCACTGGCCCCGACAAACCTGCCCTGACGCCGTCAAAGGCTGCCACCTTGTGGCCAACCAGTGCATTTCATGCCACTGTCCCAAATTATTTTTGTTCATGTTGAGTTAATGTTTAGTTTATTTTGAGTTGCAGGGGAAAGACTTCGAGGGAGATTATGGCAAGAGATAGAAGTGTCCCTAATCTGACGGAAGGTTCTCTGCATGAGGTAAGTTCTTCAACGCTGGCATGAAGTAGTTTTAAAGCCTGGCCTTTTCAAAAGTGACCTCAGTCCTGGATACATTTCTCCTGGACAGTCTGTGCATTTCGTTATTTCCTTCTCTGTAAGAATCTGCAGTGGTTAAAACTGGAACTCTTCAGTTGGACAGTCAAGAATACAGACTTCATTCATTTTTATATTTAAAAACAAATTTCTGAGCAGAGAAAGGAAGGTAACGGAAAACGGAAACCAGTGGCCGGAGGGGGGGAAGCTGTGGTGAGATGCACCAGATTTTGTTTTGATCACCACAGTAAGGAAGAAAATGACAACCTGTATCCAGATAGGTAAACAGTGTCTCCAAATAGGGTATAAAATCGCTCACAGAGACAATTCTTCATGCGGCCATCTTCCTACTGCATTTGTGTGTGTGTGTGTGAGATTCTCACTTTGACACCCTGGGTAGAGTCCTGTGGCATCACAGCTTATAGCAACCTCAGACTCTTGGGCCCAAGTGATTCTCTTGCCTCAGCCTCCCAAATAGCTGGGACTATAGGTGCCTGCCACAATGCCCGGCTATTTTTTGTTGTTGTTGCAGTTGTCACTGTTGTTTTAGTTGGTCTGGGCCGGGTTTGAACCCGCCAGCCTCGGTATATGTGGCCAGTGCCCTGCCCAGTTAGCTACCCTCACAGGTGCACCCTGTTTTTGTGTTTTTTTGAGACAGAGTCTCACTTTGTCCCCCTTATAGAGTGCCAGTGGCGTCACAGCTCACAACAACCTCAAACTCCTGGGCTTAAGCGATTCTCTTGTCTCAGACTCCCAAGTAGCTGGGACTACAGGTGCTTGCTACAACATTGCCTTTTTTTTGTTGTTGCAGTTGTCATTGTTGTTTGGCAGGCCCAGGCTTCATTCAAACCTGCCAGCTCTGGTGTATATGGCTGGCATGCTAGCCCCTGAGCTATAGGTGCTGGGCGGCCCGACTCATTTTTCTATTTTTAGTGGAGATGGGGTCTTGCTTTTGGTCAGGCTGGTCTGAAACTACTGAGCTCAGGCAATCCACCTGCCTCGGCCTCCCAGAGTGCTGGGATTGTAGGCGTGAGCTATTGAGCCTGGCGTTCCAACTGCTGCATTTTTCATTCTCAATTATATCTCTGTGTGTGTGTGTGTGTGTGTGTTTGTGTTTGTGTGTATATATATGCGCCTGGTTTACAGTCTATGGTGCTAGAAAGTAGAAACGTGACTTTCATTGTTGGTGAGAAGGAATTTTTTTTTTTTTTTTTTTTTTTTTTTTTTGAGACAGAGCCTCAAGCTGTCCCCCTGGGCAGAGTGCCGTGGCATTACAGCTCACAGCAACCTCCAGCTCCTGGGCTCAAGCGAGTCTCCTGCCTCCGCCTCCCAAGTAGCTGGGACCACAGGCGCCCGCCACAACGCCCGGCTATTTTTTGGTTGCAGCCGTCATTGTTGTTTGGCGGGTCCGGGCTGGGGATTCGAACCCACCACCTTAGGTGTACGTGGCTGGCGCCTTAGCCGGTTGAGCTATAGGCGCCGAGCCGGTGAGAAGGAATTTATAGTGGCCATGGCATAGGTTTGTTGGAGTAAATACACAAAAGTTCTAAATCATTGTTTAGGGAGTTAAATGATTTTTGTTGGGTGACTCATTGTGACTTGATGTTTAATCTTTCATAGTTTTGCGAATAGACCTGCTTTTGGTGGGAGACCCCCAAACTTTGAAACTCTGCTTGAGTTCAGTCAAGTGCTAGCTTTCCCCTTGCTGGCTGGGGGACTTTAGGCAGATTGCTTAACTTTGCTGATCCCATTTCCTCAGGCATAAAAAGGGGATAACAATGGGACATACTGTTTATCGTCCCGAAGATTAGATGCGAAGACGTGTAAAGCATTTACTGTACGTCTGACACGTGTGTGCGCCTGTCGTCCACAGGCTGTTAGAGCTGAAGCTGTAAAGTGCTGAGCACACTGGTGGACACAGTGTGGACTCGAGGCCGCTGCTGTCCTGGCGGCTCTACAGATGTAAATTGTTTGACGTGTGCTTTTTCTTTAGCCAGGGAGGCAGAGTGTCACCCTGGAACAGAATAACCCGGCCGACCAGAGCAGAGCTCACACTGCTGACAGAGGAAACAGAGACTGGCCCCAGAGGCCTGGCATGAAACAGACTGCTCCAGGGAACAGGCGGATGGTCCGTAGACACACGGTGGACGACGCGGTGGGACCCAAGGGCCGGGAGGCTGCTGGCAACAGAACCGCTTCCCAAGAGGCCAGTACTTCCCAGTCTTCACAGAAATAAGGCATTGTTAAATTTTCTGCCAGGAAGTCCGTATGCAAGAAGAGTGTGCTTTCAAATAACTGGCTGGAGAAGAGAAGAGTCTTCAGCAGAACATTCCTGAGAGCGTTTCTGTGGCTGAGGCAAAGAATGTGACAAAAAACTCGCCATTTCTCTCCTCTTCAAAGCGCATGAATACACTTGAAAAGGAATGGCCGTGATCCCCGCAGTGTCTGGACCCTGAAGCCCACGGGACTGTTTCTAACGAAGTGTTAGGGTTCCTGGTTGTAGGGCGAGGTTTGACCAGCACATCTGGCCTCCTCCTACTGAAAGGTGCTAAACTCAGTCAGGTTGTAAGTTAGCCGACCATAAGGTGAAAGCCTTCCTCCATCTGGGACAAGCGAGAAGCTAGTTAGGTCCAGGGTACCGAGGAGGTCAGTGGGAGTGGCGGTTCTGAGTGAAGAAAGCCGCCAGGCAATGCTTCTTTGCAAAGTAACACTTGAACCAAAAGTTGCCTAAATGCCATTTTGATGTTCATTTTAGTAAAAGGACATATTAGACCTGTTCTATGCCACGCACATGGGAAAAGTAAGCTATGATTTTCCTTCTGACACGTTAGGTACAGATATTTGGTTACTGCCTACGAACCTGTGGCAGCATTTGTAGAAACATGTGTTCCGTTAAGCGCCTCCCTTCCACACCACCCCGACAGACGGTTACTCGACCAGCACAGACTTGGCACCTCTCCTCTTAGTATTTCAATTCAGATTCAAAACTTACAGCACAAACCAGGTCAGTTACTTTTGAGTTGGAATTTATTGCCATTTTTTCCTTTTTATAAATTTCTATAGAGTATACTATTTTTTTTTTTTTTTTTTTTGTTACTGGTCTAGAGCCGCAAACATGGATTTGTCCTGCATATGCTTTCAGATAACTTTGTGATAGGGAAATGGTTTTGTGCATGTTCTTGGAAATACCGTATATGTACAGAAGGGAGGGAGTGATTATTTTTCTACAAAGTAATTTATGATTTCTAATCTTCTAATGTGCCTTGGACTTGTGCCAAATGATGGAAAAGAAACAGTCAACTTTGATTCTTGTGTGCCCGGCATGCTTTTTTGTTGTTTTGCTATGGAGATGTTTTCTCGGCCTCTCCGCTATAAACACAAGCTTTGTGTGCAGGAAAATGGCCTCTGCTTTTCCAGTTACAGACCTGTGATTGAAACACGTAGACTTGATCGTTATCCATCCATCTGACCAGGGCTGACCTAACCCAGTAGGCACCGTGCCCAGGCCCCACCTAGTTTAATTTCTTTTAAAATCAGAATAAATGGTTTTTAGCCCAAATAGGAAGTCAGCATAGTTGCTTTGCTAGTTTCTTTGTTCTGTCTTATTTTTCCTCCTTTCCCCTACTTTTAAACAACATAACCTTGCTGACGTAAAGTTGTCCTAGTTCTTTACTATCCTAAGGTGCTGTATACTTATTGGCACAGGCATGCCCAAGATCACATTTAATACCGCCTGCCTTTTTCAGTGGTGCAACCTAACTTTGAAAACACTTTAATACACACTCCTGTTTAATTTCAGCAATTGCCCTGGATAATAGAACTGTCCAATAAGACAAGTTCAGAAAAATAAGGAGTTGACGGGCCAGACATCTCAGAGCCGGTGTGGAGACCCACTGGGCAGTGGCATCTGAACTGGAGGTTTCAAGCCTGGTATGCCCTTCATGTAGAGATACAGTGTCGGGAAGGGAACTGTCAGTTGAGGAAAGTTTCCTCTGGGGCTACTCTGGTAATCATTACCGTCCATCTTTTTTTTTTTTTTTTTGAGACAGTCTCTGTCACCCTAGAGTGTTGTGGTGTCATAGCTCATAGTAACTTCAAACTCTTGGGCTCCAGCAATCCTCCTGCCTCAGCCTCCTGAATAGCTGGGACTACAAGCGCCCACCACAATGTCTGGTTAGTTTTTCTGTTTTTAGTAGAGTTGGGGTCTTGCTCTTTCTCAGGCTGGTCTCAACTCCTGAGCTCAAGGGGTCCTCCTGCTTCAGGCTGCAGTGCTGGGGTCAGAGGTGAGAGCCTCCCAGAGTGCTAGAGTCACAGATGAGAGCTCCCCAGAGTGCTGGGGTCAGAGGTGAGAGCCTCCCTGAGTGCTGGGGTCACAGGTGAGAGCCTCCCTGAGTGCTGGGGTCACAGGTGAGAGCCTCCCAGAGTGCTGGGGTCACAGGTGAGAGCCCCCCAGAGTGCTGGGGTCACAGGTGAGAGCCCCCCAGA